TTTCACAGACGCATCTTAAATGTCATGTTGAACCTGTACCGGGCTCCGGAACCAAAATACGGGCCTGATACCATAAATTTCAAATATAATCAAATTTCCAAAAACTCTTATATTTTCAGTAAAACAATTTCTTTCAAAAATTCATTTCTCGGGCTTAGGACCTCGGAATCCGATTCCGTGCATACGCCCAAGTCCCATATTTTCCTACGGACCCTCCGAGACCGTCAAATCTCAGGTCCGGGTTCGTTTACCCAAAATGTTGATCGAAGTCAACTTAAATTCAATTTTAAAGGCCAAATTAACATTTTCATCACATTTCCACATGAAAACGTTCCGGATATACGCCCGGACCGCGCACGCAAATTGAGGTGAGGAAAAAGGAGGCTTCTAAGGCCTCGAAACACAGAATTTTGTTTCTAAAACAAGTGATGACCTTTTGGGTCATCACACCCCTTCTCGACCATATGCCGGGCCTTCACATAAGAGATAACCCTGCTAGTAGAATGGCCAGGAGTCCCTGTCTACTCTAATCGAGGAAACCCCAGCAAGGCTAAGGTCACCATCTTGGCGTGACAATCCAATATAGCATGATAAGGTGATAGCTAATCCATACCCAAAATGACATCAAAATCAACCATATTGAGAAGTGGGAGATCTACTCGAGTCTCAAGGCTCCCAATGGTAACCACACACAGACGATAAACACGATCTATAATAATAGCATCATCCACGGGTGTGGACACATACACAGGAGCACTCAAAGAATCACGAGTCACAACCAAATATGAAGCAAAATAGGATGACACATAGGAATAAGTAGAACCCGGATCAAATAAAACTGAGGCATCTCTACTACAAACTGAAATCGTACCTGTGATAACCGGTCAAATGACTCAGCCTCAGGCTTGGTTGGAAAGGCATAGCATTGGGGCTGGGACACACCACTCTAAACTACATCTCGAGGACGGGCCCTGGCTGGCTGGCCTTCACCTCTAGCGGCCTGACCTCCACCTCTAATGGCCTGACCTCCACCTCTATTGGCCTGAACTCCACCTCTAGTTGCCTGAACCCTACCCCTAGCTGGCTGAGCAGGCGGTGAAGCACCTGGTGCCGGGACCATGGCACGAGAACCTTGATGCTAAGAACTGCTCGATGCTCGAGGGCAAAATCTAGCAATGCGTCTCGGATCACCACAAGTATAACAAGACCTCGACTGTTGTGACTGCTGACCTTGAAACTGACCCTGCCGGCCTGAGTAAACACCCTGAAAACTCTGGAGCGGAGGTGCACAAATAGGAGCTGACGGTGCTCTACAGGCTAGTTGATCGGAATAAGGCATATGAGAGCCACGACCACCTGAGGTATCATGGGGTGTCTGGTGTGCTGAAGGAAACGACCTGGGAGGATGGCCTTTACCAAAGTACCCCTGCCTCCAGATGAGGCACCACTGAATCCACCAGAATGATGAGGCCTCTTGTCAGATCCCTGACCTCCCCCCTATGCTAGAACCATCTCGACTCGCCTGGCGATATTGGCAGTCGTCTGAAAAGAAATCTCACTCCCAGTCTCCTTGGCCATCTGCACCTTGATAGGCTGAGCAAGTCCCTCAATAAACCTCCTCACCCTCTCTCTCTCTCTCGGTAGGAAGCAGAAGAATGGCATGACAGGAGACGCTTGAACTGCCTCCGATAGTCCTCTCTTAATGTGACAGGATGGAACTTCTCACGAAATATCTGAGAGAACTGGTCCCAAGTAAAAGCAGCAGACCCAGGTGGTCTGGTCGATACAAAGTCCTTCCACCATCTCTTGGCGGAACCCATCATCTGGAACACAACGAAATCGACCCCATTGGTCTCAACTATCCCCATGTTCCGCAGAACCTCATGGCAGTAGTCAAGATAATCCTGTGGGTCCTCAGAAGGTGCACCACTGAAGTGAACCTGGAAGATCTTAGTAAACTTGTCCAATCTCAATAAGCCCTCAGAAGACATAGCTAGTCCGTTACCGGTCTGTGCCGCAACTACCAGCTGAAATACCCCAACTGGCTAGGCTGTTGGAGTCTGAAACTGGGGAGCCATCTGCTCCGAAGTGTTAGTAGCGGGAGTCTGCGCTCCTCCCCCATCCTGAGAGACGGCTGGTGCCATAGGGAATGTGCTGGCCTGTGCCACACTCTCCATAAGGCCCACTAAACGGACCAAAGCATCTTGAAGCATTGGGGTTGCGATGAACCCCTTCGGGACCTGAGCTGGTTCAACTGGCACAGTCTGGGCTGGAACCTCCTCATCAAACTCCACCTGAGGCTCCGCTGCTAGCGCTGCTACTCGAGCTCTGGGCTGAGCCCTGCCCCGGCCTCTGGCACGACATCGGCCTCGACCTCTGCCCCTCGTAGGAGCTGCCACTGGGGGCTCTGGCTGCTGCTCAGCTAAAGATGCAGTACGTATTCTCGCCATATGTGATAGAACAAGAGTAGAAGAGTTCAATTAGCAATGAGAGAACAAAATCGCACAACAGAGAAGAATAGAAGTGAAATTTGTTCTTAAACTTCATAGCCTCTGAAAGATAAGTACAGACGTCTCTGTACTGATCCTCCAGACTCTACTAAGCCTGCTCGTGAATTGTGAGACCTAGGAAACCTAGTGCTCTGATACCAACTTATCACGACCCGGAACTACCCACGATGTAAAGAATTTAATTTAGGTCATTATTGAAAAAGTCAACAAAAGCCAACATCCGGGCCCGCTTGGTCCAAACCTGAAATTCGGACCAAAACCCGATTACCCTTTCACCCCCGAGCCCGATTATATAATTTATTTTGGAATCCGACCTCAATTTGAGGTCTAAATCTCTATTTTTCAAAAATCCCTAATTCTATCAAAAACTCCCAAATTTCCACCATGAAAACACTAGATTTTAGGTTAAAAACTTGTGAAATGTAATGAAAGATTGAAAGAAAATAGATTAGAATGACTTAACAATGATTTGGGGAAGAAAGGGTCTTCGAAAAATCGCCCCTATGGTGTTCTTGTTTTGAAAATTTGAAGAATGAGCGAAAATCCTGTTTTTCTAACTATTTGATCAGTTGCAGGTATCGCATTTGCGAACCCCAAGCAAACAAGTCTGTGCAAATACAAAGAATGACTATGCCTGCTGCCTTCGCAAATGCGAACCAGTGTCGCAAATACGGACTGTCAGGATCGCAAATGCGATCAAAACTTCGTAAATGCGAAGGTCCTCCCCCTAGCCCACTGCTCGCAAATGCGATGGCCTCTTCGCATTTGCGAGGTTCGCAAATGCGATTTGCGAGCCAGACCTCGCAAATGCGAAGTCTGCAGATCAGTTGCAACAGCTGCTATGTTTTCTAAGTTCGAAACACTCTGTAGCCTATCCGAAACTCACCCGAGCCCTCGAGGCTCCAAACCAAACATGCACACAGGTCCTAAAACATCATACGAACTTGCTCGCGTGATTAAATTGCCAAAATAACACCTAGAACTACGAATTGAACACCAAATCAAATGAAATTTTCAAGAAAACTTTAGAACTTCTATTTTCCCAACCGAACGTCCGAATCACGTCAAACTAACTCCATTTCTCACCAAATTTCACAGACAAGTAATAAATATAATAATGGACATGTACTGGGCTCCAGAACCAAAATGCGGATCCGGTATCAACAAGAGCAAACATCAATAAATTCTTAAAATCATTAAACTGCCAAACTTTTAATTTTTCATCAAAAATTCATATCTCGAGTTAGGGACCTCGGAATGCGATTCCGGACATACGCCCAGGTTTCATATTTCGATACGGACCCACTGGGACTGTCAAAACACGGATCCGGGCTCGTTTACTCAAAACGTTGACCGAAGTCAACTCAAATTAATTTTTAAGGCAAAAATTCTTATTTTTATCAATTTTTGACATATAAGCCTTCCGGGAAAACACCCGAACCACGCATGCAACTCGAGAAAGGCTCAAATGGGATATTTAAGGCTTTGGAACACTGAATTAAATTTTAAAACATGAGATGACCAAACCGTTGTTAGAGAAAACAGAAAGGTCCAACATTTCAGTTGCATTGATGAAGTCCACTGCAAATTCCAAATAACTTAATTACATTGGTCAAATGTCAATCATATCTGATTCGGCACCCTGCCTTAGTACAACACTGCACCTAAGATTCTCTCATTTATAAGCCACCTTTGTCAAAGCGAAATCAGCTACTGGTTTAATCTATTTTTTTTAAAAATATTTTAGATGTTTAGTAAAATTTCCTCCTTTGAAAAAAGTGGATTACATCTTGGAAAGAAAAATAAGACAAACAAATTAGAACGCAGGGCGTAACAAATTTTATCAATTGTTATTATTGTTGGTTTTAGGATTCACTTGTATTGGTGCATGACAATTACTCACTTTTTTTCCTGCAAATCCTTCTACAATTTAGTAGTCCTTAAAAAAAATATTATCTTGATTTTATTATATCCTTTCACACGAGATTAGTAAACAATAACCCGAGAAATTTGTAAATAAATGCATGAAATCTTTGTAGAGTTATTTTTTCTATTTAAATTCTGTTTATACTGATAATTAAATACTTGTAAATGCTTCTTTATCCTTTTTTCTTCCTCTTTTCTTGCAACATTAAACCATATAGCATAAATGAAATATATATATATCACGAATCCAGCTAATATTTTTAGATAAAGGAGAGCCTATATTGATGAATAAAGCGTGCACGGAATTTTAGTATACAATTATTCAAGTGGGTCCAATATTTATCAAAGGAGAAAGAAAGACTAAAGACCCCCTCAAATTTCTTTAATCCAACTAGTAAGATGGTGACCTGGAGGGCATGTGATGTACAGCAAAAGTTTATCCCTTTCATTTTTCAATAGAAAAACTCATGCAAATCAAATAAAATGCAGAAGAAAATGAAAAAAAATAATACTAATAAAGAATCAAGAAAGGGGCAAGTTCCAGGTAATGACATGAAAGAGTGTGAGACCAACCCAAAAACCTGTTCAAACTTCAAACCTCTTCAGCACTAATATTATTATTACTATTATCTCATCTCAATTTCTTCACTCATTGATCAATTATTTTATTTATATCTACAAAAAAGTAAGACAAACCCAACGTGCCTCAAACCTTCTCCTCTCCCCTGTTTTCTTGTCCATCTCCAAATCTACTTTCCCTACACTACTCACCATCTCCACCTGCTGATGAAATGGGATTATTGACAGCAAAAATACTCACCATTTTCATCTTTCTCAGCTGTCTTCAACTCAAAATTCAAGCCCAGAAACTGAAAACATTCAACAAAGAATATCCATCTTTTGATGAAACTTTCTTTAACATATTTGAGGTTGAAAAGCCTGCAACAATCAGCAACGCTGCTCTTCAGGTGACTCCTGACTCTGCATCTTCTGATTTCAACCTCTACAATAACTCAGGAAGAATCCTCTTGAAACAGCCATTTAAGCTCTGGGATGGTGATATTTCAAACAATAAAAGCAGGGTTGCATCTTTCAACTCTTCTTTTCTTGTAAATATTTATAGGCCAAAGAATGAAACAGCTGCTGAAGGTTTAGCATTCTTGATTTCTCCAGATTTGGAGAAGCCACTCAATAGCCAAGGGCAATATTTGGGTTTGACAAATGCTACTACTGATGGAAATTCCACCAATAAAGTTATTGCTGTTGAGCTTGATACTTTTAAGCAGAACTTTGACCCTGATGATAACCATATTGGTATTGATATTCACAGTATTAGATCTGTAAAGTATGAATCTTTGTCATCTCATGGGATTGAGCTTGCTCCTATGGGTGCAAGATTCTATAATATTTGGGTACAATATGATGGAATCAAGAAAATTCTTGATGTGTATATTGCAGAACAAGCTGAAAAAAATGGCTCTACACCACCTAGACCAAACAACCCTATATTAACATATAATCTTGATTTAAAAGACCATGTGAATCAAGAATCATATTTTGGATTTGCTGCATCAACTGGGAGTAATTACCAACTCAACTGTGTGCTGAGGTGGAACTTAACAGTTGAGTATTTTCCAGATAAAAAGCATCCATGGTTGAAGGTTGTTTTAGGGGTTGGGGTTCCAGTTGTGGTGTTATTGCTACTTGGGGCAGCATATTTAGGGTATATTTATCACAAGAGAAGAATTGATAGGTCACAGTCAAACATATTGGGTGCACTAAAGAGTTTGCCTGGAACCCCACAAGAGTATAAGTTCAAGGCTTTGAAAAAAGCTACCAACAATTTTGATGAAAAGAATAAGCTTGGGCAAGGGGGATATGGAGTGGTTTACAGAGGTTTTTTAGCTGCTGAGGATAAAGATATTGCAGTCAAGTGGTTTTCAAGGGAAAGTATCAAAGGTGAAGATGATTTCTTGGCTGAACTTACTATCATTAATCGTCTCAGGCATAAACATCTTGTCAAATTGCTTGGTAAGTCTTTCTATTTTTATTTGAATGTAGATATTGGCATGTTCCTTACCATGAATTTCATCTGTTTGAAAAGAGTAAAGAGTTATCTTATGCATGTTTTTAGTATGATTTTGGTAGTAGGTTTAGCATGACAACATATCAGGTTTAAAAACAGTTAGGAAAATGGTACTAATAACTATCCATCGTATAAGATTGTACAAGAGAATGAGCTTTTGATGGCAACTGCAAAGATTGTGTTCGCACACAGCTTTTAGCTAAACCTTTGAGTCACAATAGGCACATCTCCCAGTATTTCCATTGAAGTGATATAAATTTGTTACCTTTCTCGGGGAAAAAAAAAAGCAGTCTGGTGCACTAAACTCCCACTATGCGTTGGGTCCGAGGAAGGCTAGACCACAAGGGTTTATTGTGCGCAGCCTTACCCTGCATTTTTACAAGGGGTTGTTTCCATGGCTCATACCCATGACCTCCTCGTCATATAACAACAGCTTTACCAATTACGCCAAAACTCCCCTTTACCTTTCTTTAAAAAAAATTACTGATATAAATGCTGTTCACAGGGCCGGAATTGTATGAAGGGGTTTAATTGAATCCTCTTTGCCGGAGAAGTAAAGTGTGCAAATATGATAAAATTGATTCTTTGTGTATAAAGAAAGTTTACAGTATAGCAGCAAGGTGGTTCAAAAATCTTGCATTTTCTTAAATTTAGGATTCTTTCTCTGCCCCTTCCATAATTAGGTGATAGAGACCGGGACAAAGGAAAGGGGCCTTGTTTTATTGACATTTAGCATTTAGCAATCAGATACAGAGTTCTTGTATGTTCTTGATTTTCAATGAAAGAGAGAATCCATTAACAAGGACTCTACTGAGAGAATGGTTCCAAAAACCTTGTAAAAGTTATTGAGATAATTTAAAAGCCAAAGATTGGTGGGGCATCAACTTTAATATTACTATGTAATGGTAAATTGGTACTAATAGACTGATTAACCGCGTGGCAAGAATCCAGTAGGGACATGTCTTATCTCTTTTTATGCTTTTTCCTTAACTTTCCACTCAGAGATCCGTGAAATTACATGCTTATTCAACTACTCTAGTAGCCCTTGTCAAAGCTTCTCCTTGAGGCTCATAACCCGTTTGGCCAAGCTGCAAAAATCAGCTTATTTTGAGAAGTGCTTTTTTTCAAAAGTGCTTCTCTCAAAAGTACTTTTGGTGAGAAACAGTTTATGTTTGGCTAATTAGTTTGAAAAGCACTTCTGAACAGCAATTAGTGTTTGGCCAAGCTTTAAAAAACTGCTTCTAAGTGTATTTTTCTCAAAAGTGCTTCTCAAAAAAGTGCTTTTGGAGATAAAGCTACTTTTTTCTGCTTCTCCTCAAAAGTACTTTTTTTCCTCAAAAGCTTGGTCAAACACCTCAATTTTTTGGCCAAAAGTGCTTTTGGCAAAAAAAAAAAAAAAAGCACTTTTGGCCAAAAAGAAGCTTGGCCAAACAGGCTATCAGTTTATTAGCGTAACCGAAATTTAGTAGCCCGATTAATTGGATTCGTGCTGCATTGGATTCACTAAAGTGAGAAACGCTCTCTACCAAGAGTTTTCCTTAGGGATGACTTAAAGCCTAGACTTCCGGTTAAAGATGGAGGATTCATATTCATCTCTTAATAGTTGATTCCAGCAATATGATAAGTGATAGTTTATGCCATATAGCATCATGGAAGTAGGAAAAACTAATGGAATGACTTAAATGTTTTGACCAAGAACCAACTTGCTGCTATGTCCCCTCCAATTTAGTAGACTGAATCTATTCATTTGATTTTCTTAAAAGAGAACAAAAAGAAGATGATCATCTTTCGCTGACCATGGAATATGCCCTAAGCAGCCATTCGTCAAACCATTTTTTTTATGTCAATATTTTGAGGAAGCTTCCTTCTTTGTCCTAACATACCTTTCAATGCATTGTCAATGATTGAGACAAGTTTTTGAATGTTAAATAAAATGATGATAATTATATCCACTGAAAAGGACATCAACTTCGTATTTTAGTACACAATTATCTTGAAACACCTATTCTTTTGTGTCATCTACTCTTGTCATCTGACCCTACAAAGAGATAAAGTTCGTGACTTTCTTTTTATAAACTACAGAATAAAGTTGACCATCTGGAATTGTTTTCTCTCTATTTGATGAACTCACACATCTTTGTTACTGAATCACTGGATAATTTTTATTGATAAAAAACAATCTCACTGACATAAGCATCTTATAATTGCATGTTATGGTAACAGGATGGTGCCACAAGAATGGAAAACTACTGCTTGTATATGAATACATGCCTAATGGCAGCCTAGATATGCACCTCTTTTCGGGCCCAGATAAGCAGCCGCTTAGCTGGCATGTCCGATACAAAATTGTGCAAGGTGTCGCCTCGGCATTGCACTATCTGCACAATGAGTACGAGCAGAGGGTAGTCCATCGCGATCTAAAGGCAAGTAACATTATGCTCGACTCCAAGTTCAATGCGCGCCTTGGGGATTTTGGCCTTGCACGTGCCCTTGACAATGAAAGAACCTCGTATGCTGAGGCTGAAGGAGTACTTGGCACAATGGGATACATAGCACCAGAGTGTTTCCACACCGGGAAAGCCACATCGCAATCTGATGTTTACGCATTTGGTGCCGTGTTGTTGGAAGTTGTATGTGGCCAAAGACCTGGAATCAAGGTTAATGGCTTTCAATTCTTTGTTGATTGGGTATGGTACTTGCATCGCGATGGCCGTATCCTAGAAGCTGTTGATCAAAGGCTTGGGGATGACTATGTTGCTGAAGAAGCGAAGAAACTTCTGCTGTTAGGTTTGGCTTGCTCACATCCAATAGCAAGTGAGAGACCTAAAACACAGACAATAGTTCAGATTATATCAGCGTCAGCACCAGCACCAGAAGTTCCACCATTTAAGCCGGCATTTGTATGGCCATCTATGATGCCAATGGACATAGACTCGAGTGTTATGGACACAACATCTATTACAACTTCTCACTTCAATTCAGGATGGAGTCTTGACTATCAGAGCAGGGAGACCCCAACATATGCAGACCACCCCAACTCATTGGTGTAGTTACTTTGGTAAAGCAACTTTTACCAAAAGGAAAATTGATTTTTTTGGTCGTCTATTTTTCCTTTAATTTACTGTAATTATGTTTTCTGGGGAGGAGGTTAAAATATTTCTTTCAGTTTTTTACTTTTTGTTTTGATGTTTTTTTTTTTTTTCAATTTGTTAATGGGGAAGGATGAGAAGATCAGACCAGCCCATGTACATCATTTAACTCAGTAGTGTTACAGTATGTCCTATTTACTGTTGCTCTTTAGTTGATATATTGATAATATTGGGATTGATTTAAACGAGTAACTAACATTTGAAACCAATTACAAAGGTCTACACAAACAAAATTTTTAACGCGAGTAAACACCAGTATCTCAAGCGCTAAACTAGTTTACATAATACTACTGACTAATATAACTAGTTTACAGACTCACTGTAAGGAATACAGTGAGTCTGTTTGAATCTGAACCCAAGAAGTATAGTCCTTGTATCACACGGTTTAACTCTCTTGACATTGTGAAATAACACAGACCTCACCATCTAAAACCACAGTTCAATACCAAACTAGTTGAGTTCTCGAGTTCAGTCGTATGAATCCTATAGATCCATCTCATTCTATAGAGCTCAACAAGGGGAGAAGAAAAGACTAATGCAGATTTTGAGATTTGTTTTTCCAGTTACGAACCTTTAGCTTTCTTTTACAAACCAAAGGAATTAACCTGTTTTTATCTACAATCCTTCTTCTCCGCCAACTGGAAGAATATTGTCATCGTTCAAAATCCTGAAGAATCCACAGATTGTTCACATGCCTTAATCAACTTTGATAATGCCTTGGAAAGTCCTGTAAATCAATCACTGGCACTGAACTTTTTGTCTCCATTTTTGTTTTGGCCCTTTACAGTTAGTAGGGTACTTGGTGTGTGTGATGATTCTTGAATAAGGGGTACTTGGACATAAGGCACTCTTGAAGGGGAAAAACATCCCATGTGAAATGGATCTCATGGCCAAAAAAAGTCATTATATCATTCTTTGGTCATCTTTTAGACTAAAATTATGTAAAAAAAAAATCATGTTGCTACTATTGTCGAACTAAATTGGAATAAACAAAGAGAAAATGAAATGGTGTTGTTGTTGTTGGGCCGAAGGTCTATCGGAAACACCTTCTTTACCTGCACAAGGGTAAGGTCTGCGCACATACTATCCTCCCCGGACTCCACTTGTGGGAATATACTGGGTATGTTGTTGTTGTTATAAAATGAAATGGTGGGAAAGTATCTTTATCGTCTCCAGCTCAAATTTATACATGAAAGCATCTGCTTTAATTGCTTCATGTGACTACAACAATTTCATGTCTTGATACGTACAACTTAAAGATTTGGTTGTGTACCATAACTGTCTGTGTAGGTAGAATTTTGGTTGGAAATTTTAGGAAGTTATCACCTTACTTCTCTGAGGACTTATATCATATGAGAACAACTAATTCGTATCAAATCATCCTCCCACTTTGACTCCCTTTAACACATGTAATTCACAAATTGTGAAGGCCAAACTCTAGTATAATTTGGGTTCTGTAGGTCAAAACACTTCAAAAATAAATTGTACTAGTACTACATACAACTTAAAGATTCCAAGATCTTAAATTGTAAATATAAGACTTGTTCGATTCTTTTGAAAAGCATTAGATAACAGTAGAGCACAATATAAAGATGGATCATAGATGCAAAGTTGATATGCATAAATTAGCCAAGGGATACTATGCCATTATATAGGCTATTCTAGTATATAGAATTTGGATTGCTGACCATCTCAAATGATATCCCACAAGGGTTTATTTTTTCTTTCCTACTTTCATGTTCATTAGTCTAAATCAATATAAAGGAGGCCATGAGATGCTTGCCAAAGTTTTATAAGTTAGTGCGCATAAGATCAAGAGCTTCACCCGCCTGCAACTTCGTTGACAATCGGAGCTTTCTGTAATCCTGGAAAGTGAAAGGAACATAGACACGGGGATGTTCAGCATCCACCAGCTCCGGTGGTGGTTCCACTGCTATTTCCCTTGGTCCTAAGAGGAATGAAGCAATAGACCACCGTGTTTTTGCTTCCTTGCATATCACTCTATGTTTAACAGTGTAAAATCTTCCATTGCTCCATACCTTCACATAGCAAAAGGCAAGTATGCATACGATTGTTGGAACAAGTCAAATCTTGACAATGAATTAGGTAGAGTAGCAGCATACTTACCGTGCCTATGTCTCCAAGATTCACAAGGAGGGTATTTGGCCAGGGATCAACTGCAACAAATTCACCAGATTTCTTCATCACCTCAAGACCACCGACGTTTTCATCATCCTGTAGAATAGTAAGGAATCCCGAGTCTGTGTGTATCTGAACCCCGGAGGAACCTACAGCTTCTGGGGTAAAGTGGTACTTGTTAATCCTAAACTGACAAGGCCAATCCTCGAACGAAACATTTTCCAGTCCCAACCCTTCACCCATTTTTCGCATGATGTCCATCATTAGTCCATGTATTGCTGCAGCATACTTCTTGATTGTCTCTCTGTTTACAGTACGAATCAATCTTTTAGGCGTGGATTGATAAAGGAATTATACAAAATCACAACGATGGATAGAAGATTTTGGATTTTGGTTCATTCAACTATAAATTTAGTAACACCTTGCTGAAAAGGTTCTTAAATTTGTGTTCCACTCCTAAGGTATATGCCCTTTTAATTGTTACTACAAAATTAAGGTCTAGCAAACTTATGTTCTTGGAATTGTTTAATTTTGGCATAACAATAGAAGACGAGTCTTAGAGCAATGGTAAAGACCTACAGGTCACAGGTTCAAGCCGTGGAAGCAGCCACTAATGCTTGTGTTAAGGTAGGTTGTCTACATCACACCTCTTGGGGTACAGCCAGTGGCAAAGCCAGAATTTTCTCAAGGGTGTTCAAACTTGAAATAAGTAAGAAAATAATCCGAGAAAGGGTGTTCAATACATGTTATGTACCTCTAAAATATTATATTTTACCTATATAAGCAGTGTAATTTTCCACCACCCTAACCCAAGTGTGCCTTCGCCCTTGGGTACAGCCCTTCCACAGACCCTGCGTGAACGCGGGATACTTTCTACACCGGATTGCCCTTCAACAATAGAGGGGAGATCAAATCAACAAGAGTGAACTGCAGTATCTACACTAACTGTATCTTGTTCCAGGAAAGATTAGCTTTCTTTATTAGCTTCACTGATCGTCCAAATTCCCCCGACTATTAAACTCAAATAAGAATTACGCAGCAAACACATAAGTAAATAACTTCCAGACCCCACCAGTCAGAGGCAGATTTAGGATTTAAATCTATTTAGCTATGAACCCATTATATTTTTAAAGTTATGAGTTCATATTTACTATTTTTGCAATTTTAATGAATTTTTACACATAAATTTTTACTCTGCATTGTAAGTTATGGATTTAATCGAACTCGTCATTAGCACACTACATCCGCCCTTGCCACCAGTAAGTTGCTAATTAGTAGCTAATTATTGCTAATCACCTTCTTACTTCAACCATGAGCGCACAAAGAACTCAACTTTTGCATAATCAAGAAACTAAAAAAGTCAAAGCCAAAGAAGGAAGCAAACCTCTGGTGTGGGGAGGCATCTAACTGAGTGCAGAAAGCATCAACATCTTCAGGAGAAGACATATCATAGAGACCCAAAGCCTCATAAAGTGGATTCTTTTCACTAGGGGCCATGTACCCAGATCCAGCTATAACATCCTTATTACGTTTCTTGATTTCAGTTGGAAGATCGAACAATGTCCTCACTACTTCCTTCATTTCTGCCATTAGTGAAACTGGAAGTATATTGTCATGGTTCAAAATCCTGAAGCATCCCCATTCTTCACAGACTTTAATCAACTTTGATGATTGTCTTGGAAAGTCCTGTAAATCAATTACTGGCACTGAATTTTCAGTTTCCATTTTGCTAGTTTTATTTGATCGTGTGGACAGGCGGGCGTACTTGTTTTATAATGAACAAGTAATAACGTGAGGAATTTGTTGAATTTTTGAGGAAACACATCTTCGGCCTCTCCGCACGACGGTCGCCACTTTTTTGGACATATTGTAATAGAAACACTTTTAAAGAGTGAATTCCATTTTACCCCCCTAACCTTTTAGTGTAGGGAAATAATACCCCCTTCACCTTTTGAATGGAAAAGAGAACCCCCTTTGATAGTTATTGAGCTTCTTATTTTGAAGTAGTTCTCTGAAGTTTCATAATACATCAAAATTGTAACAGTTTCCTTTTGGACAATTTGGAGCAGAATAGCTTTTTTAGTGGTTATCTTTTATATTGCAATGTTGTTATGGGATTTCCTTAGCTATACTAATAGCATTTCCTGCTAGAACTGGATTAAACTTCTAGCAGTATATTATTGAAAGATGTCAGATCCTCAGCGGAAATGGTTTTTAGAATGTATTTCAGTGCTATGACGTGTAAAAATATTTACAAAATCTTGTTACTTATAAGGTAGTAAATCTCTACAATTTTCGCACTTCTCTTATAGCTTTGTATTCCTAGATTCTTTGCGACTACATGCTGTGTTATTTGTTTATGTTATCTTATTTCCTTGCCATTGTTACCGTTTGCTTATTGTGTCCTTTTCACTGTTCTTGAGTCGTGGGTCTAAGGGAAACAACATATCTCTTCCTTCACAAGGTCGGGTTAAGGTCTGTCTACACATTACCATTACCCGACTCCACATGTAGGATTTCACTGAGTTTGTTGTTGTATGGTAAAAATGGTATTTGACCTGCTTTGCCATGAAAAACTACACTGATTGTGTTAGAAATCTTTACAGTATATAACTTAAATTCTGTATATTTTGTTCTTTGTGCTCTGACATTGAGATATTCTTGGATTTGATCAGGTGGACACATTAACCCTGCCGTGACATTTGGTATGTTTCTGGCAAGGAAATTGTCTCTAACCAGGGCAGTTTTCTCCATTGTGATGCAATGCCTTGGTGCAATCTGTGGTGCTGGTGTTGTCAAAGGGTTCCAGCCATCTTTGTATCAGGTTAAGGGTGGAGGTGCCAATGTTGTGAATCATGGTTACACCAAAGGAGATGGCCTTGGTGCTGGGATTGTTGGCACTTTTGTTCTTGTCTATACAGTTTTCTCTGCTACTGATGCCAAAAGAAATGCAAGAGACACCCATGTCCCTGTGAGTGCTTACTTGACCTCTCATTTGTACTTTAGATTTTACTGTTGAGCTATTTAATGTGTGTGTGTATTCTAACTCATGGTTGCGTTTTACAGATTTTGGCACCTCTCCCAATTGGATTTGCACTGTTCTTGGTTCACTTGGACACCATCCCAATTACAGGCACCGGCATTAACCCAATTGTTGTTGGAATTCAAATTTTTTATTTTTCTGGTAAACTTTTGCATCAAAGGGGTTCTCTTTCCCATTCAATAGGTGAAGGGGGTATTATTTCCCTACCCTAAAAGGTTAAGGGGGTAAAATGGAATTCACTCCATATGAAATGGATCTCATGGTTATATATTGACAGAAGCCGAGCCAGAATTTGTAGTTTATGGGTTTGGAGATTTTAATTCAAGTTACTGATTCTAAATAAATAATTTATATAGAGTTTGAATCAAAACTGTTGGGTTCGGCCGAACCTGTATGGAACATTTTGACTCCGCCCTTGTATATTGAGGAGTCATTTGGACTATGGAATAAGGTGGTATAAAATTGGGATTAAATTATCCCATCTTCTAAGTTAGATAGCTAATATGAAGTTATGAAATAATCAGCTTATCCTTCTTCACTTTTCACCGTAACCTTTTTGTTTTTTGAATCAAGGTTAAAATAGGAAACAAAATATTATCCAAGCTTATCCACCTTCAAATCAAACACATGCTTTGGATTGAATACAGTATATCCTATGTTTAGTCCAATGAACCAAAGATTTTAATCTCAGGATAACCTTGTCCGCGTACAAATAAAACAACAATAATCAGCTATATCAAATTATCAATCTGTTTTCCAAGCTGCATTATGTACTACTAATAGTTATTGTTATTCATAACAGCTAAATAGGTTACAGCCCTTGCATTTATTAGAAACGATCACAAGTTGCCCTTATCGTCACTCTCATGATTAGAGGTCAATCCCGTGCTTGATTATGTCTTTATTATCACATTATTAAGCTTGTTTTTGTAAAACATAAAATTTTCTTTTTGGTGAGACAAAAATCAAGAAATGAAAATAGAGAAGTTTCCGCTCACTTGCAATATAAAAAAGTTTACTAGGGTGTACTAGGACTATCTAACGCTGCTTTTATAGGGAAGTGGACCATTCTGCTGAAATTAAGGAAAGTTGCTAATTGAGGATGAGTTTTGATTATGTAAAACAGATGGCGAAAGGGACAGATTAACAATCCTATGATACCATCTTTGTTAAATGACCAATATAAATTATCTAAGTATAGACTCCAGTTATATATTGAGATCAGTTAATTAGTATCTAACGAGGACTAGGTGACTTTATTCAGATCCAAACATTTAAAAACGAAATTAGAAAAGAAGTTACTTCAGATTATTACAGTTGGTAAGTTGGGCTGCTTTGCGTATTTATCATCAACTAGATAAAAGCTAAAAACCGATGAGAAAAAGTGAAAACCTAGAATGTTTTGAAGAGCGAAGAGTTCTTACGCCGCCGTGGCCGGCGAAGACGATGGCCGGGGAGCGGTGAGCGCGGTGGATTTTTGGATTCTTTCCGTTTCAGGAGAAAAGTCGCGTGGAGTGTGTACGGGTCACGCGAGGGAAGATGAAGCGGGAAATAGGCTTAGCTGTCCCTTGGGATAATAAAACAAAAATTATTTTCATAAATAATAAAATGTTTGTTTTATCATCCAACTAGTATTAGTACCCGCGCGATGCGCGAACACAAATCATATCAAATTGTGATGTAGGTTGTTTGAGTCATGTGCAAATAACCTTAAAATATAAATCTTTCAGATAAAAATTATATAACATTAGATATTAATTATAAAGCAGGATATGAAATTATTATTCAAATCTCGTAGTAGACAACTTTTTTTTTATTTGTAGTAACCTAACCCCTGATTTTAGTACTTGCATTTCGTTTCGGTGTCAATATTAAAAAAATACTAAATATGTCATGTTGTGATCTATCTTGTTTGAGCATATTATATCACATTATTTTAACAAAATTCTTACTATCACTTTGTTTTTGACTCAAAGTCAAATATGTCTTATTCATCACATCATTTTATGTAAATTCTTTTTTATTTTTGTTCTTTTCTTGTAGTTATTGTATTATTTATTATTTAATTATTTAATATTTTTATACTGTCATATAATTTTTATTAGCTTAATAATTAAATTAATATTTTGTTTATTATCCTTTTAATAGTTTTTAATAAATATAAATATTTTATTCTTGAAATTTGGTATATTTATATGCTTGTAGCCTCTATTCAGAATTTCTTAATCATTTTAATTTATCAGTTATTTTCAAAAATATAGTTCAATTATTTAATTTATTTATTTTTCAATTAATTTGAAGTATAAATATCCTAACACTACCTTTATTTTTTTTATACATCTCTTCCCTACTATAAATTTTAATTAATTTTTATATTAATATTTTACCTATAACCAAAATAATATCATATTATATTTTAAATTTTAACTTTTAATTAGTCAAAAATATTAATACATAAGTTATTTTATTATTATTTTCCAATTTATTGAATTCTCTTATAATTATTTTGTATCAAATGCAGTTAATTTTTAATTATAATTAGTAAAATTACCTATATTACAAATTAATTTTATATTTTTAATTTTATTTTAATCATAGAAAAAATATTTTCTAATTGTTTGAACACATTATATCTAAATATTGTAATAATATTTTTGCTGTTTTATTTCTTTGCATGATATTTTCAAAAATAGAAAATTTATGATATAAAAAAAATCTCATCTCAAATTCAAATAATTCTTATCATTCTATGTTGTAAATTGGACCCCAATTTCGAAATATTATGTTATGCTTTCAAACTTAAACTAACTGCACTCAATTCAGATATTAATCATAGAAAAATATTTTCTTAATTCTTTGAACACATTATATCTAAATTTTGTAGTAATATTTTCACTGTCATTTTATTTCTTTACGTAATTTTTTTTTCTTTTTTAGTTTTAAGATACAAATTTAAATATAAATTTTCATTAGTACCTATATTATGTATTTTGAAATATTTATTTATTTATTTATTTTTCATAAATAAGACTTTTATTTCGTGGTATTCTCCATAGTTTGAGCATTCTCATCATAGTTTTAAGAAATTTCTAATATCAAATTCAAGTAGTCTTTCCCTTTCATTTCTAATAGTAATTTTTTAATAATTTAACATAATTTTGCTATTTTTTAATCTAACATATAGTTTTATTATGTTTTGCGTGGCTTTTCATTAGCTTGTAACATTATTTCATATTATTGTCACTACTATTCTTTATATAATATAGATAAATATATAATTTTTGTAAACATAAAATAAATATTTATTTTGTTTTAAATATTTCTCAAAAATTTTAAAATTTTTAAATTTTAATAATATTTCTAAGTATTGTATATTTACATTTATTTTATTTTCTAAACTTATTATTTACAAATTTCCTCACATTATCTCTAATTTATTTTTATTATTCAATATTTTAGTTTTTGATTTTATCTATTAGACTTGAATTATGTGAATTTATCCATATTATGACTTTTCTTATCATAATATAAAAAACTTTCTCATCTCAAATTTAAATAAGTTTTACCCTTTTTTCTATGATAAAAAATTTGAATTTTTGTTTTTTCTCTATTTATTCTTTATTTTTAATATTATATTATTCAATAACTAATATTATTACATTGTCATGTGAATTTCTATTAGCTTGTTTGAATTTAATATCTATTTCTACCACACTCATTCTAATATAATATAGATAAAAATTTAAAAACTTTCTCATCTCAAATTCAAATAATTTTTGTCATTCTATTTTCTAATTTGGACCGCATTTTCAAAAAAGTATGTTGTGCTTTCAAATTTAAACTAACTGCACTCAATTCAAATATTAATCATAGAAAAATATTTTCTTAATTATTTGAACACATTATATCTAAATGTTGTAGTAATCTATACGTATAAAATATTCGTTTGCATGATTCATCAATATTAATATGACTTTATTATTCTTGTTAACAAAATATTTTTTACTGATTATTTAATTGTTTTTACCTTATAAATAATTTGTATATTTTTGTAAGATCTTAAATTGAATATTTAATTATTTTAAATAAAATGTGCTCTATGAAGACCAATAATTTAAAACTAATTGTTCTGTTTTATTATTGCGTAAACAGTACAACCACTTGCCAAAAAAATGCGGTTTTTATTTTGCAAGCAGTTAGGACAACACCACTTACAAATTGTTATAATTTTCTTCCTATTCTACGTTGTTACTTTAAAAAAGTTATTTAATTATTTTAAAATTTAATTTTAATAAAAAAAATCAACTAATAACTAATTATTACTCCTAATAACTACTTTTTGTCCTAAAAACTAACACATGTCATTTTCTTATTTCGCCACTTGTCACAATTCTATGCCAAACTTCCTTCTTTTTAATAATATATAGATTTAATTTTAATAAAAAAAATCAACTAATAACTAATTATTACTCCTAATAACTACTTTTTGTCCTAAAAACTAACACATGTCATTTTCTTATTTCGCCACTTGTCACAATTCTATGCCAAACTTCCTTCCTTTTAATAATATATAGATAAGAAATTTCACACATCTGAAGCAAAGATAACAAGTTTTGGGGGAGAAAGAATGAAGTAACCATTGATTGATTGTAAAGTACAATATACACATATAGCTCTATACAACATGAGGATTGAGGACTCCCTAAGCTAAATATTTTAAGCCTTCCTACATGACAACAAAATTCTGGGAAGGAAAAATCTCAACCATTTAGCTGCAGTACAAACCAGCTGAACAAGCAGTTCAAACGTTCACCATTCCTCCTCATATTTTGGAGGCAACTAAACAAGATGCTCAACTTGATTCACTCGTTCCTCGCATTCAATTCTAGATGTTTTACATCGAATGACGACCATCAGTCTTGTCTTTAGTTGGCCGTTCATCTTGGATTTCCTCTAAATCCTCATCATCCCCTTTTCTACCAGCTTGTTCCTTCCAATATGCCACTAGCTTCTTTAGCCGAGCGACTTCCTTAGATGAAACATTTTTGCTGGGATCATTTACAATGGAACGGACTCTTGATGCATACCTGGAAACCAAATTTATACTTAAGTTATACCTTGATTACAAGTCGGCTCCATCGTATGATCAAATCAGGCTTAAAAGAGAGCATTTCAATTTAAAAAGGAAAATTATAAGAATAACATGATCATAAAATAAAACAATATGACCTATTTCAACAATAAAGAACATACGTTAAGGAGTTGTGAGTCTCATCCAAGTTTGATTCTGCTGGAGAGATGTTCACAAACATAAGAGTTTTAGCATTTCCACCTAACGAGTCGCTCATCAACATAGTTAGCTTGTGATTTCGATAAGGAATGTGTTGATTTCCTGAAGATAATGCACTTATCACATCACCAAGTGCTGACAGTGACTTGTTAATGCTTTGAGCTTCTTTTAATTGATTGCCAGCTGAGCCAGACTTCTTAACTCTTTCTGAGCCAGCAAGATCCACAAAACTCAGCTGCACACACATAGAAAAGAATAAAGCAGAAGCTAAAGAAACAAAGCAAAACTTTTGGTGATTCTATATTGGTAAAGTTCCTGAACATTATACACTTATTGGTAAATAACAAGATTTAGGTATTTTGGAGGGACTGACTACCGTACTCAAATAGATACCACACCAACAGTAAATAAAGTTACTTATAACGAGATCCAAGCTAATGTGTTGCAAATAGGGTTGTGAATAATTTGGTAAATATTGAATTACCGTACCAAAACCGAAAAATTTGGTTTTTGGTATGGTATTTGGTTTAAATTTTTAAGAAATTTGGTAATAGGTACGGTATTCAATATTTCAAAAAGAACTACCGAAATACCGATACCGTATCGAAATATATATTACTCCCTCCATTCCAATTTATGTGACATTCTTTCCTTTTTCGTCCCAAAGAGAATGACACATTTCTAAATAATATTTAGTAACAATTCAACTTTAAATTTTCTTTTTTACCCTTAATGAGATGATTTCTAGCAACACAAATTTCGATGGCTTATTTTAGACCACAAGTTTCAAAAGTCTTCCTTTATTTCTTAAACTTCGTGCCCAATCAAACACCTTCACATAAATTGGGATGGAAGGGGTATGTTACACAATACACATATTATTGATTATAACATAAATATAAAAATTCTAAATACTTTCCTTTATTCTCTAAGTTCAGCAATTAATTCTAAGCAAGTAACAAACATTTTCAATGATCAAATATTCCTTTATGTACCGCTTTCTCTCAATGAGTTGATACTTGCTGATTTTGGACAAACATTTTATCAAGAAAGATTTTTATTTTTGTTTTTGAGTACTTTAATTAAGAATATTACAGTCTATGGCTCTATACACTAGTTACCGAACAAATCAAAGTTACCGGACCGAATAAACCGAAACCGAAAGGAGAAAAATCGAACCATACCAAATTAAATTAGGTGCGGTATTGGTATAGCTTTTTAAGGAACCGAATACCGAATATACCAAACCAAAATATCTAAATACCGAACCGTGCCAAGCGACGAACACCCTAATTGCAAACACATGGCTAACATCTTGTTAACGTGAATTAGCGCTTACCAATACAAATAATAATATTATTATCATATGTTTGCTGTGAAATTAGGCTTTACGTATTATAAGAATACTACAATATAAATAACAAGTTAAAAGAACACACCACTATTTTTTTGTGCGTGTGTATATATATAATTTCAGTTAAGAAAGTTTAAGGTCTCTTATTAAAATTAGGTTTTAGGCCACATTTTACTGAGCCACCCATGCCCATATCATATAAGTCGTGCAAGTTCACATTGTCACAAGAAAGTAGAAGGTGTGATGCACGCACCTTCCCTCTAGCAATTGCCTGCGTTTGAAGATTGGTACTCTCAATAATAACTGAAACTATAAGATGAGATCTTGAACTCTGCTCATTCATCAAGGTTCCAGTCGTATGACGTTGTTCAGATCCTCTTTGGATTATTGTCTTAAGTTCCTCATACGTTGAAATAGACACCACTGTCACATTTTCCACAGAAACCATGCCCTGTTTATGCCAAATTTTGCTAATTGTTACAGCCAAAATAAAAAGATAAACATAAGCTCGTTCAAGCTTGGACATAATGAAAAGAGAAGTGCAAAAGAAGTATTGATAATTTGTGAGGCTCTAAATAGCAATCACCTTTGAATCTTTTTTTATATCCAATCTCAAGCGCTTTGCATTCTTTGGCAATAAGAGGTCCACCAATGTATCCTGATACAACTCTACCATGTATGCCTGATCAAGTTCACATCAGTCATAAGTTTACAATGGTTTATAATGGGCCTTCAGGACGTACATCTATTCACTTCACAAGCACTGGATAAGGAGAAAAATCATATGAAAAGAAAAAAGGAAGGTGACAAAATTGTATTACTCATAGTTTGACAATTTTTGTAATTAGATGTTCCACCGGAGAATCGGAATTTAGAAAGTTGAAGCATAAGTAATGCACTAACTATATTATCTGAAGCCGGAATAAAAGCCTACCATAACCTTTAAAGCACTAGAAGAGTTTACCTTTAAAGAGAAAGAAAACTTATTACTATCTCGCTTCATAATTCTAAAGAGTTCAGATATAGCTCTTGGTGTCAGTCCTGGATTACTATCAGCTCCATAGATTGTGAATGTCTTGCCAGATCCAGTTTGTCCATATGCAAATATGCAAACATTATATCCATCAGCAGCTGACTGCACCAAATACTGCAACAACAACACGTCTTAACTTAGAAGCTGCTAGGCAATATGCATATATTAGATCCTAGCAAAGTTCTATAAGAGGACAATTGACTTTTTGCTTGCCTTAGTGTCTTCGAACACATCATCTTGAGTGGCATTTCCGTCAAAGACACGATCATACATGTGTTGTTTTGCTTTATCATCTTTCCATATATGTTCAATAGTAAACTCATCAACACTTCTCATTACATTTCTTTCCTTCGCTATAATTTCCTTTTCACAAAGAGGTCTTAATCTGCAGTAGACTCTGATCTTGCCTTTCATATCTGAGACATGAGTAAGGTCCATAGTATTACACTTTAAAAATAAACAAGGACCTTCAAATTGCAATGTCAGTAGCACAAAATAAAGAAAGGCATGTAATTTTACCTTCTATTGTGTTGAAGTACTTTTTCCTTAGAACTTGTTCCTCTCGGTAAAGTGCTTCCATTTCAGCTAATTGAGCCCCTTGCATTTTCAAGATGGCGGCAGTTTGTTCATTTTTTCGATCAATGTCCTGAGTAAAGTAAGTGTCAAATAAAAAAGAAAATACAATATTCCAGCAGCATAATAAATATATTTTTTGACACAAATATTTGTAAACTCTGCCTATGAGAGCTTGTCCACATTGCTAGTTCCAAGAACATATAAAGGAGGAGGATTTTGTAAGTTCACTATCAACATAAAATTAGTTAATTTAAAATGAATCCTCACAATAATGAACCAATAGATATTGAGGATCATATAGGCGATCGCAACTAGCTTGGGAAGAAGGTATAGTTATAGTTGTAAATACTTTGTACAAGATATTTACCTCTTTCATTTCTCTTAGCTCCTCGAGCTCCTTCAAATTATTCTGTAGCATTTCTAGTTCCCTGTCTTTAGCTTCAAGCCCTGACCGTGCGACAACCAAATCATGTTTGGCCTCTTCCAGTTTTCTTTGAAGTTCAGAGACTTGGAGCCTCAGCGCCTTGCATTCTTTTTCAAAATCTTTCTGAAGGTTTTCCATCTGTACCCAAAATATCAGTGGAAATCAACAAAAATCAATATAAATGCAGAATGCATGTTAAACACAAAGACATGGAATGCAACATACCTCACTTGATTTCTTCTTTTCTAGCCCTACGATTTTTTCCTCAAGTGATGTTCTTTCACTCAAAAGCTTCCTCTTTGTTTCTTCTGCAGCGCGCAACTCCATAGTACGAGCTCTCAACTCTTCCTGGATCTTCTGTAAGACCTGCATGTAAAGCCACATAAGTTTGTGTTTTTTTAGGTTTGATCAAACTAAATAATTTGGACAGATAACTAAGGCCAAACACATATTTATAGCTACCTGGTTATTCGCTTCAACCAACTCCTTTGTAATATTTTTCTCCAAACCTTTAGAACTTAATTTTGAAAGTCGCATTTCCAAGTTCTGCTTCTCCGTTAGGGCAGCCTGTAAAGAAGGCACTAATATAATGAGATGATTGCCGCCTCAATAAATCAATTTAAGCACATTTAACAAACACCTGAAGCTCTGCATCTTTTTCATTGCATAGAGATCTAAATTTTTCACAATCATAAGCAGCAGCTGCTAAATTTTGCTTCTCTGATCTCAAGTTATCTTTTAAGCTATCCAATTCTTCTTGCATCTTCGATTCTTCTCTTTGCCTTTCATGTAAATCTTCCAGCAACTGCTTATCAACACAACCACCATGAGCTATCAAAGCAAATGTGTGCCAAAAATACATCACATTGTATCTTTGTATTGTGATTGTAATGATAGATAGATATATGCATAGCGGGTAGAGCAAATGGGTGACATGTACATTTCAGCACAGACACAACTGATAGAAGGAGCTGGGAATTCCAGTATTTCAACTTATGTTAACAGAAAAGAACAGTCCCTGTTTACATATTACCAGCAGCATATACCTAGTATGTTAAACATTTTTGTTCAAACTTCTCATAAAGCATAAAAGCTTCTACAACAACAAATACCACTCACATCATTGACTTTCTTCTGAGATTCTTCAAGGGCGCGAGACAAATCCTGAATGCGTCTTTCATTAATGTCAGTGTTTGCAGTTTTGAGATTATTTGGAACATCTGCATTAACGGAACCATTAGCTGCAGAACGGGCTTTTGAGTAGCGGCGTAACATCACATCATTAATATGTGTCTGTAGAGCAACACAAATTTCCTCTCCCTGCATAGAATGAAGATGTCAAGCTATGTAAAATAGTGAGCCAGATTGAATCAACCATCTATAAACACATAAGATAAGCATGTTCCGTAATAGGCAAGCTTTGAACCTGTTTTGTTTCGAACTGAAAGATATGCAAGACACCAGCAACTCTCATCTTAAAGAACACAGCAGTGTTGCTGCTACCAAATTGCATTATGTCCCTCAACTCAGCTGAGTGCAAATACTCCTTTGGAACTGGACGGAAAAAATGAACCTGCGGGGAACAAAAGATCATACTTGAAAACTGAAGAAATGCGTAAAGTAAATACAGATCCATCTTCTCAACCTGATAAGCATCACTATGAATTACATCTTACCCCACGTTTATTAATGCCCAATATGATTTTCCCAGGCAAAAGTCCAATAGGATCATCAATCTTTCGAACAGCAAAGAAAACTGAATTTCCATAAGGAAGCGTCCTTAGAATCCGCAAAAATTGTTGTTTGGCATCATCTTTTGTCAGATTTTCCTAGAGAGATTAAAAGAATGAACCTTATCTTGACATGGTATCAGTTCACAAACACAAAGGAAATTCATGCTAAAGTAATCTAAGGAATTTCAACATAAATCATGGGATGCTGATTGGTAAACTTGCCACAGTGAAAAGAAAAAATACAAATAGAAAGAAAATGAGCGACTGGAAAGGAACTCAAGGACAAAAGCCAAGCACTGCTGTTAGTTCTCTTTTCCTGCTCACAAAAAGTGGCCTTGAGAAATACAGGAGGCACAAATCATCTAATATTGATTGGAGAACACCTTATATTATGAATGAAAATGTATATTAAGCATAAAGAAACATCATTAAGGAAAATGTAGATAAAAAAAACTTCTATTCAGTTTCTTAGAACATGATTCCTAGACCAAGGAAACCCAGATAAAGCTCTTACCATCAATTTGTAACGAGAAAGTATATCCAATTCCCATTCCCTCTTTGCCCGTGTCATTGCAATTTGTCTGGGTAGAAAACGCTCCAGCAGTGATGTCCAGTCACTGAAATAAACAACTTAGCATATAGGACAGGCATAAATACTACAGCACATTCAGTCTTTGAAAGAAATATTACTAGCAAAGTGGAATAAGAAACTGGGGAGAAGTCCAATTTGGGAAAAAAGTAATGAGGCATAATTTGAAAGGAAGAAAAGTTAATAAAAAACTACTGACGTGCAAGATTCAGGGCCATCAACATATCCAATGTCAACCAGTATCTGAAGAGCAGACATCTGTGCTGCATCATCCTTGCCAACAGGATAATTGCCCATTATGTAATCATGTTGTAACTGTGACCACAGAACAAATATTATAACAAAGTAGAATCAACTTTGACTTGAAGGTACACCAATGAGCTTAAAAATTTAGCATATCAATTCACTATAAGCAAACTGACATACTTGAACATATGACAATTGCACGAACATTGTTTCTGTAACAGCTTCATCCGACTCCCGAAACAACTTCTTTTTGAAACTTAGTTTACAATGCAAAATCTCCCCTTTACTTCGGTCTTTTGATGCCTTAAAGTCCGCCAACAGATCTCCAATATACTTATTTTCATCCAAACAAATGTACTCCTCTACAGAAAACATACATGCTTAAAATGCAAAACATTTGACCTTAAAAGAATTTATAAAGTGGATAGGAATCAGTACCATTTCCAGGATCTGGAGATTTAGACCCAGTAACAACCTTACGGCACTCGAACAGACTGAAGCTAGCATGAGCAGACAATTTGATTATCCCTGCAACCTCCTGAAAGAGCAAGTATGTCACACAAAAATTACAAAGGAAAATATCACCATCATATCCACTGTTAAATTTATCTGCTTCCCAAAAGAAACTAGAATGCGGTAAGAGAAACTTCTTAAATCAAGACCGTCAAATTTAAAAAGTGATAAATAAACCATGTCAAATGATCTTAGATCTAAAATCAGAGTTAGAGGGACTAAGCCATATATACATAAATCAGACTTTGAAATTCTTGAGTCTAAGAGAAGAAGGAAAACAAAAAGGAGAAAAGAAAAAGAAGTAACAGACAGATAGCACAAAAGTTAAGGTTCCAGAAGATTATAAGAAGTTGTTCATTTGACTGATCAGAAGTCATTTGTTACTCCTTTAAGCATTTTTTGATAAAGTAGTTACTCCTTAAACATTGAACCAAGCAAATAACAAATCCACAATAAATGAGATGTATGCTGGAAGGAAGCACAAGACTGATAAAGAAACCATAAACAAAGAAGAAAGGAAGAGATAAAAGAGCGAAACAAGCAATGCAAGTTTTGGTGTTAAAGAACATATCCCACATTGGTTGTATAAGTCCAAAGTGTTTATAACGGCCTAGGATACTCCAATATTATCTTATGGTTTTAGCTTGGATGTTCAGATTGTCCTACACCAAAAAAGTTACACTTGTCCCACTTTCCTGTGCAATATTTCTCGTCAAACTTTACCTGAATACCATAGGATAACTAGTGAACCCTACATGTTCCTCGTATGCCTAGAGATGTTCCAACTGTCATGTAAAGTTCATGTTGAGCCCGACATAGCCATTCGCTCTTGGATAAAAGAGTGATGAATAAAAACAAGGATCTCCTAACTCTTGCTAAGCTCTACCACATTATAAATACCGTGCATATTTTGTCGTGTGTATACTGTATGGAAATTCAGCAATACCTCAATAGCATCAGCTACAGTTGTGGCCATGTCATACGTAATTTCCTCGAAGGTTTCATCCAAGAAAAACACTATTGTAGTAAGCTTTTTACCAGTTAAGAGAGCTTCAATCTCCTCACGACCAGGTATCGTGTGCCTAGGTCCAGCCTTAATAGAACGTTTCAACGCATTTAGAGTATTTATTGCATAAACTTGAACCTCAGAATCAGTATTGATTCCATGTGCAACAGTATGAATATATTCTGACAAGTATCCACCAATTTCCTTGCTCGGAGGCATGCAAGATGCACACAAGTACATTAGCTCCCATGCTTTAATCAAAGAATGCCTGTATTTACGAAGCAAGCATGTGAGGAACAATGTCAAGTAAAAAGCAATAGAATGAACAGGAAGAAGAGAATATCAGCTTCCCATTTCTCAATTAATTAACTTGATGTCAAAAGTACCTCTCCGGATTATTCCTTGTTTGCTTTGAAATTTGGGCAAACATTTCATCACGAAGCTCAGACCGCTTCAACGCCTGCTTAAATAGCTTGCCAACAAGCTCGATTCGCTCATCCAAGCTGATTGGAGCTGCTCTATCATAGGAATCAATACCCATATACTTCAGAATGGACTGAAATAACTTAACTGCCCTGCCGACGAGATCGCCATTTATTTTCAGAATTGATGTTGGAATGGGTTCCTGTCAGGATGCGAGTTGATTTTAGTTTGTACATGCCAAAGAAATTAAAAGTGTAAACAGCTAAAGAGCTTAATCTTACCCTTTGGAAACACAACATATCCTCAAATGTGAACTTTTCCCGAACTTGTGGACCAACGGATTTTTTTAAAAAGAACCCACGTTTGCCAGCAGATTGAAGCTGCTTTTGCATAGCCTTCAAAAACCCCTCAACCTATAACCACAAAGAATCTCTATCACCTCTCTAAAGTAAAAGGAAAACAGAATTGAGGTCCGTCGCCTCATTCTTAATAGAATTCAGAAAAGAAAAAAGAAAGTCACTCCAGTCTTCGTTGTGTGCATACAGATTGAAATGATTTTCTTTTTTTCGGAAAGACATGTCTCACCTGGAATCTGTCAATATATGGTATCGCACCAGCAAGTTCGGGTGACAGAACTGATGAGAGAGTAGTTGGGGTGCTACACATTGCACAAGGCAAAACACAGTTGGTAATTGTAACTAGTAAGTTTTATTAGTATCAAACAACACTACCCATTTCATCAACATGTAAAATAACACCAAAGTAAATCAAATGGAAAAAATGAAGGGAGAGACTTACGGTGGAGCAAAATTGGAACCATCACTATCATAATCATCCCCATTTGAGGTTGCAAAAGAATAGTGTGAAGGTGTTTCATATCCGTTACTTGAGCCAAAAGAAGACCTGTTTGACCTCATGCTAACTGGTGGCATATCAGAAGTCATGTTCCAAAATTATAGTCTCAACTCTATACAACTATCAGAAAGACCATCCAACTCCTCAATTAAACAATATTTAATCTTCAATAGCTTCCTCGGTTACCTGACCAAATTAATAACACCATGATTATTAGAAATCAAAGAAGCCCAAAAGCTTAAATTAATCCACCAATTTTGAATCAGATGCAAAAAAAAATCCACACATTAGAGTAGGAGCCAATTTCAACAAATAGTCAACAAAAGTCCAAAACCATAAGCATCATCAACCGGCGCAAACCGTAACAGAATCACAAAAATACTATCAACATTGCACCATATGCTACAAAACTCATAGAAAAACTCAAAAGATTAGATAAGTAGCAAGCTCCCTAGCAGCCACCAAATGACCAACAAACTTTTCTCCTAAACAAAGAACCGACTAATTCTATACACCAAGATCCACAGAATCACAAGCAAAAAACCGCAGAAAATGCTAGAAATTTCAAACTTTGGAATAAGATTACACATTGGGGAAAAAGACAACAAGTCATAACCACTGAAGTAGATCGAAAACACACAATGACAAATCAAAAGCGCAAAAAGCCAGTAAACAAAACAGCATAATATCAGTTGTAGCTCAGAAATAAAAGCATAAAAACTTCTGGATAAGTGTCTTTTAAATTTTTGGACTTTAAATTTAAGCAGAAATGCTGTTCACACTTACAGAAGCTCATAAATTAGAAATGGGTAAGAAGCTCATAAATATAAGAAGAAGCTTTGGATTATGCTTTACTTAGAATGAAAGATCGCCACCACCAGAGAGAGAAAATAGAAAGAGAGATGTAATGGTGGTGGAGTGAAGGAGGGAGAAAGAAGATGGTCACGAGAGTTTTTTAAATAATTTCAAAGCTCTTTTTTGACAAAATATACAAGGATGGTGTTCCAATAACTTGGATATAGTTATAACTTGGACTATAAAATATCAGAATTGTCCACTTATTACATTTGGTCCTGATTTGGTAGATTTTGCTAAAATTAAGTGAATAAAGTTTTTTATTTTCATAGCAAACTATTTTCTTTCTGTTTTTTTTTTCTTCTTCTTCTGGGATTTTAGAAAAAGTTGTATTTTTTCTTTGGCCTAAATAAGAGTTAATGCCCTTTGTATGAAAATTTCATTATAACTCTATATTTCTTTTTCTTTTCTAGGGTTTATTTTTTTGGTTTCCAGATTTTTACCTTTTGTTACACGAAGAAAATCGGACAATTTGAGACCCATAGTAGAACATCTTAATCTAATTTAGAGTATATAAGGATCAAGTTAAATTAAATCTTCATAAAATTTGATATAAACGAAATTTTAAGAATTTTCCCAAATTATTCAAAGGAAAGACGTCTTTAAGTAATTAATTAATGTTTTGATTTACCATCAGACTGTAGAAAATTAGTCTTAAGCGTAGAATAGCATTTACGTTACTACTTTGTGCTACCATAATGACAGTGTTGCTTCAGCTTCTCGTCAGTTCAATTACTCAATTCTCTAAAATGAATAAATCATGCATGCATTTCCAAATAAAAGGAGATCAGGAGGAAAAAAATAATAATAATAATAAGCTAAAAGTGAAAATTTAAATAAGAAACAAAAGCTATTGAACCAAATTTGTGAAAGTTACTGTGGTAAATTCTTAAATTTATAGTCCACACGTAAATTATCTTTATTATTTTTAACATTTTCTTCATTACTGTATTTCTTTTTCAATTCTGCTGTGAATTGCCTGAAATGAGAGTTTGTAGGAAACAATTTTTCTACCTCTGCAAGGTTTGGAATAAGGTCGGACTATACATTACCCTCCACAGATCTACAGTGTGAGAATATATATATATATTGTTTATGTTGTTATAGTAGTAGTATTACGTATCTAGTCATCCGTTATTGAGAGGAAAAAAAAAACTTACATAACTGATTAGTAGGGGTGTTCATGGTTCGGTTTGGATCGGTTTTTCCTTAAAAAGCAACCAAATCAAGTAAGTCGATTTTTCAAATATTAGAACAAAACTAAACCAATTAAGTCGGTTTTTCTCGATTCGGTTTATGTCGGTTTTTCGGTTTTTTCGGTTATTTGTCGGTTTTTTCTTAAATATAAGACATACACTACCAAACACATATTCCGGCGACCACATTTTCAATGTAACACTATCAAATCAATCGCCGTTTGAGAAAACTATTATTTACCAAAATATATTGATGATAATTGAATCAAATAGTGATGAATAATTTAAGAACTCAATTAAAAATATGTTATTTTTAACATGAAATGGATTCTTACACTAAACAAAAGAAAAATACCAATCAAACTAGAATGTAAAGGTAAAGAACTATATTAAAAGTGCAAACTATTAACATTTACCATAAATTTTTTGAAACTTTTGTATAACGATATACATATTTATAGGTGTAATAATAAATTGAAATAGCTACTCCTATAGTCGGTTTGGTTCGGGTTTTTTCTGATTAAAACCAAACCAAACCAAATTTGATCGGTTTTTAAACTTCAAAACCAAAACCAAACCAAACCAAAAAGTATCGATGTTTTTGATCGGTTTGGTTTGGTTTTCGATTTGGTTCGGTTTTTCGGGTTTTTATGAACACCCTTATTGATTACCCTCTCTGTTATCAACTTTATACGTGTTTTATTGTCTTGAATATGTGAAAAAGTCATTATCGTATTATCACTAAAACCCTTCCTTATTCCAATTTTCGTTCATATGTCTTCTACCCCGAAGGAGGAAAAAATGAAACGGGAACAAGTTGCAATGTTGGGTTTGATATCGAGAAAATAAAAATTCATTGGATGTAACTAAGAGCCCGTTTGGACATAAAAAAAAAAAACCCCTTTTTTCAAAATTTTTTTATTTTTTTCCGAAATCAGCGTTTGTTCATAAAAATTTTAATTTTCACTTTGAAGATGCATTTTGGAAATTTTCGAAAATTTGAAAAACTCCAAAAAACTATTTTTCAAAATTCACTCACAAAACTTCAAAACAACCCAAAATTATATTCATGTCTAAAAACAACTCTAATAAATTTCAAATACCATTTTCACCTGAAAATTTTTTTTACCCTATTTTTGAATTTTACAGTTCTTATGTCCAAACACCCACTAAAGGAATCAAAGAAATTTCCCGGGTAAAGTACAAAAATCTGTGGGGGCAAAAGAAATGAAAAATCAAAGAAAGATTCTTGCCCTCAGTTGTAAGGTTTGAAGCATATTACCCAATCCTATTGAAGAAGTACAAGCACTGGACATATTGGATTGAGACTTTGCACCATTAGCTGGGACCTAAGGTTACTGGGTAGCATGTAGTAGTTTGTATTCTTTGATAGTAGTTGGTTACTAGCTAGGACCATACCTTAGTCCAACCACAATATTATAGTATCCTATAATTGTGTTCCAACAAATGTATATTTCTCTGAATTACTCATAACTCCACTGAACACCTTCAGCTTTTTAAGGAAGGGATGATTGAGGTTTGATGTTTCCATTGAGATATATTCCAAGATTGCACAAAAGGTGAAAAGAACAGTAAAGAAAAGAGTATAAAACGTCTAATATAAGGGAATATGACTATTGGAACTACAGATCAAAGCTACAAAGTAACACTATTATAAACGAAGAGAATGTTGCAATTCTTATTTAACCATATTCTAACATTTGCAACATGAAAAATAGAATTAAACTAATTACTTAACCTAATAAATCTCTATTAAATTTTTAGCCAACTGTCGAGGTATCTTGGAAGTTAGGAACTATCCAATCATACCATGAGTCATAACCGAGTGCAATTGGAGGAGTTTGAAAGTTTCAATCTCAAAGTAGACAAAGAGACATGTTTGCAAGTCCATGGAACGACAAAATTTGAAGAATAAACTAACTAATTAAAAAAACTTGAAAAAGACTCATGTTCTTTTGTTTTTGTTTTAAAAAAAAAAAAAACTGGGGAATTATTTCATTCTCTTATTTGTAATTAGTGTAAGAGAAATATCTTCAACTTAGGGTACGTGGAATTAGAGTGGAAATGATTTGTCATTTTTTGTTCCTCGTAAATACATATACAGGTTGTGTTAGGATCGAAATACTCAGGTATCATGCGAAAACTAGTAAAGTAAACGTTGAACGATGATAAATCAGACAACAAAGACAAATATACTAAAAGAGACACAAACATTTAACATGATTCGGTCAATCGGCATACGTACACGAGCGGAGATGAGTAATTCACTCTATAAAAGAGAGTACAAAATATTGAGAGAACAACCTCACAAAGAGGCAATCACAAGTGGCACACTAACACTTGTCCCGAAAAGTTATCCCTTAAGACTCTCAAATCCTTTATGAATAAGACAGAATGATCCTCGATTAAGTCCAAATCTTTTCCTCTAAGAAAAAATACTAACCAAATATGTGAGATTTATAATTTTCTTCTAAAAGAAGAAAAAACTCAATTATGGTAAATATGTTGTCCTTTCCTTCAACAAACAGGAAAACCAAATATGATAAAAAAATCAGGACAAACACCTGACAGGTTGGGGTTCAAGATGAAAGCAATGATATGACCAACTTCTATAGTATTAGATTTTCCGGTGCTTTTAGATATATATATATATATATATATATATATATATATGGGCGGAGCTAGAGTGCCGAGAGTGGGTTCGGCCGAACCAGTAGCTTTGGTTCGAACCCTGTAATTATCTTAAAAGATTAATTGAATATGTATAAATTGCTAATTCACAACCCAGTATCTTAAGGCGATTAAAATTCCGACCTATATGCTTGAAAGCCCGGCTCTGCCCCCCCCCCCTCTCTCTCTCTCTCTCTCTCTCTCTCTCTATATATATTATATATATATATATATATAGTATATATATATATATATATATATATATATAGGTGATTCAATCATTGTTTACCTCAAAAATACGAGTAACAATTAAATTTGATTTGTGGTTTAAAAGATATGTGATTTAGTTTAATACTAATTAATAATCAGAGAAGTATAACATATAAATGAAAGAAATGAGTGATCAAACCAGTGTTACTAGGCAGTATAGACCTCGAGCTTAGTGACCTCGAGATGGATTAAGAACAGTAAAGCAAGAATAGTAAGTTAAAGGATAATTTTGATGAACAATGAGCGAGAAAAGTAAGAGAGTATATTCTTCGCCAATGATTAGATGATGTTTACAAATGATTGGGGTCCCCTTTATATAATAGGGGAGCCCTAAATAAGGTACATTTTCATTTACAGTAAAGAATCTTATTGGGACAGCTGTCTAACCGCTTAGTACGGATTCGTACAAATCTGTTCCAGGATTTATGCCATGATCTTAGGGACGTGGCAGGAATCTTGCTCATTTTGTTACAAATCCATAACGGCAATATTTCGGGGTTGAGCATACTTGGCTTCGATACTCATCATACTTCGATCCTACGGCATTGCACTCTGTCTTCGAGCTCGAGTCTGGTCCATCGAGCTCGAACTCGGCCTTGCCTGAACTCAGGCTTAAGGTGACCCCTCGAGCCCGGGAAATCGGGCATACCTGATTTTGACTGTATACAGATAGTCCCCACATTTTTTTCGGAGTCTCTGATGATGATGTCATTCCCGTGACGTAGGCGCTCGAAGTGACCGAAATGTCCCGTCGGTTTGTTTTCCCAAAACATTAAATGCATGCTAGTAATGGTCGGCCACTTAGCACCGCCGAATCGTCGCCGCTCATCTATAAATACGGGGCTCCGTCTACGAATTAAAAACTTTACTTCTTCATTATATTTACTCTGATCACCTTTCCTCTTCATCTCTTTCTCTCATCATCTGCTTCCACCACCCCTTTAAGTGTCAGAAAATGCCAAACTCCCAGAAAACCCCACGCTCCG